TATATATATATATATATATATATATATATATATATATATCCTCATTCCTTTTTCCACTGTATATACCACACATTTTGTTGTTTGTGAAGTTCTAAAACGATTTGGGGTTGCTGTAAGATATAGGAGATTGAAGTCGGTCATTATTTTTCAACTAATTTTCCATAGTGATTGATCACTATTTAAGTTGGTAAAAAAAATTATTTATTTTATTGAAAATTTGTAAATGTTTTTTATGCAGATTTTTTAAAAATTTTCATGTAGTTTTTTATTTTTAATTTTTTTCATGCAGATAATTTTAATTTTTTTCATGCAATTTTTTTTTATCCAAAACACCCATTAGATTTTTAAGTCATTAAGTCCATTTTCTTATAAGTTGTTGGGTAAGAGGTACATTTTTTCGATTTCTTACTTTCTTATATTACCTAAGTTTTCTCTGTGGTATATTTTTTGTTGTTCGTTAGAATTTATAGGTTTTTAAATTTATTTTATAGTTAAAACTAATTTTTTTATAATAAAATTACAATCAATAAAGTCTATGTCAACATTTCATCCATTTTTAACTTCTCTACTATCGTTTGTCATTCACAACGTCACGTGACCACTCTTCATACATCATTTTTCATATGTAAAATTTAAATATTAATTGATAAAATTTAATATTAATTAAATAAATTTAATCTTAATATGATAAATTTAAATATTAATTTAATTTTAATTTGATAAAATTAAATATTAATTCAATGTTGATTTGATAAAATTTAATGTTACTTGAATAAATTTAAATGTTGCTTTAATGAAATTGAATGTTCATTTGCTATTAAATTAAATAATTGACATTAATTTGATAAGGTTAAATGTTAAATTGATAAAATTTAATATTCTATTTAATATATTAAATTTCAATTTGGTGTTGATTTGATGAAGTTAAATAATAATTTAATATTAAATTAAATAAATAATATGAATTTGATAAAATAAAAATATTAAATTAATATAATTAAATGCTAATTTGATAAAATTAAATATAATTTTGTGTTGATTTGATAAGATGGAATGTTTATTTAGTTTAAATTAAATAAATGACATTAATTTGATAAAATTGAATATTAAATTAATGAATCTAAAGGTTAATATAATATAACTAAAAAGGAGTGCATTGAAATTTTAGAATCAGGAGAGGGTGTCATTGAAGTTATATCTATTTACAGGGGGTGTCATTGAAGTTATGTCTATTTATAAAGGGTGTGGATTTATTCTATAAAATATTCAGGGGTATTTTTAGAAATTAACAATTGTCGTTAACGCCGTAATCCGATAAATACTAACAGAGAGTGACAGTAAAGTTTTAAAATTAGGAGGGGGCGTCATTGAATTTAAATGTAATTAGAGAAGGTGTGGATAAAATTTCCCCCCTAATTTTCAAACAACTTTTACTTGTACTCGCAAATAAACAAATGCATATTCCCAAACTTGGAACTTGGAAGTAGTATGACATTAACATTTGTATTGATCAATGTGTAGAGATGTGCCACAAAGGGGCTCAAAGAAGTTTACTTACACACTAGATGGTTTGCATGGACGGATTAAAATGAGAGTTGAGTGATTATTTGAGAAGAAATAAAAGATAATATTGATATTTATGACTAGATTTGGTTGAGTAGAGCTAAAGCGGGGATTTTGAGTAATTAATTTTAAAAAAGAATCGACGGTATTTAAGGGGTGTCAATTGTCTCAGGCCATTTTCATGTCGTGTTGTTTTGCGTAGTGTCACTTTTGGTACGTGTCGGATCTGTGTTAATAAAAAATTATTTAATTCTACAACAATTTATATAATATTATTTTAAAAAATTATAAAATACTTATTTTTTGTTTAAAATACTCGTTAAATGTTTATTTTTAATCTATAGTATTTGTTAATCGTATTATTCATGTCTAACCTTAATTTGATCAATTTATTACTTGTGTCAACTAATCGTATAATTTTTAAATTTTATATCGAGTTTCGTGTGAGATACGTGTTAATAGGTAAAATTGATACCCCTAGTGGTATTATAGACATTATAGAGGTGGACACTCAATCCCCTTCCCTCCCTTGATTGATTAGTATAGATTTGATTTTTGGATCGGGTTTGATGCTTATTCATAATATATCCATAATGCCTCTTTTTTCTTCCAAAATTACTAATATATCCATACTTTTAAACTCTTTTTAATCGCCTCCACTCATAAAATATCAATATTACCCTTCATCTCTTCCCAATTACCCATGTTGTTCCTTTTTTTTAACTTTATTTAAATTGTCTAATTCTTTCTTCACATGAATAACCATGTATGCTTGGCGTCTAGTGTCCATAACATATCGTCAAACTTATGAACAATGACGATTAATGTGCAATAATGCATATGTGACAGACATAATTTTTGTTTCTCAATATACCACTCGACTTCTTAAGGCGAAACAAATAATCTTAAAATAAAAATAAAATCTTTTTGATATTTAAAAACTTAAATCCTAGACCTTGTCACAAGAATGCACCTTTAGCAATATATCTCATATGGTGGGAATTCTTGGTTTATAAATGGTTAAACATGATTTGACGTCACTACTATTAAAGTTGTTTTGTCATGAAAGAGAGGGAAAGAGAAAGTGGTTCAAGAAGTGTCCAATACACTTTGTAATGATGTTGAAGTTATAACCCTAAAATGTTCCCCACTTCTTTTTGAATAGAATCAATCAAGAGATGTTCTCCACGAAGCAAGGATGGATATATAGACCACTACTATTATATCTCACTCCCCCAAAAGGAAAAGGCTATGGTAAAAATTATAATTTTTTAATATTAAGTTATAATTTTTTTAAAGTGCAAGTTATAATTTTAAAAGGTATGATCGATCATGAATGATTAAGATTGATATTGAAATTTTCATAATCGATCATAAGTGTCTGCGATCGATTATGACATTAACTTGAACACTTATAATTTTATATATAAAAATAATAACCGACAGTACAGTACAATTTTTTTTAAGGACCATATAAAGATCCAACACTAATTTACTTTTTTTTCAGAGTGGTGCACTCTTCATCTTCTTCTGCATACAATCACTTTATAGGTGCTTAGAAAGTTTTGAAATGACTGCCTCCCACATGGGGGGACTGACTTTTGATCATGTACATGTTAACTTTATAAGCTTTACAAAACCCTTCTGTTTCCAGCAATTCTGTAAAAGTACTAGCCTACTGTATTGCCTGCAAATAAGATTGTATAAGGCTCCTTGTGCATTATAAGCCGAGCCAATGTTAAGGTCAAGCTCAGTTAACAACTTAGGTATATTTTTTTTTTTTTTGTTCAACGGTCAGAGATCTCTGAGTCAGTCTACGCGTACCTCAACTAATTCCCTTCCGGTATGATCAAAGGCCGACCATCCGTGTAAGAACTAAAATATTTATAAGGGATATATTTCTCATACCTTGATCCCAAGATATTGCTACGATTATAGTTTTATCTTTCAACCATGAGGGAATGCCAACTCTTGGAATTAGCCACATTAGGGGCGGCTCAATAATATTAAAAAAAAACTTGAGCTTTGGGCCTCAAATTTTTAGAAGACCCTATAATTTTGGATACATTATTAATTCAAAAAAAATTTAAATCCATCAAATTTTAAACCCTACAAAATAAAGACCTCAAAAAATTAAATACAATCAAAATTTTTATTGTAACAATTTGAATCCATGATCCAATCCATAACATTAGAAACCTAAAAATCAGAAGTTGAAAAAATAAAAAGTACTCAAAAGTAAGCTTATATTTACCCCTACCTCTCTCTCTCTCTCTATGTGTAAAAATAAGTCAAAAATATACAAAAAAAGTTGAAATTAAACTCTTTCTCCGGTAAAAAAATAAAAACAAAAATTAAAACATTTTTTGTGGCAACACTAATACGTCTTTCTTCTGTCTCTCTCTCTCATATAATAAATTAAAAATAAAAAAAAACTTTATTTAGTATTGTCACCGTAAACCTCAACTGATACCTAACTAGATGGGTATTAGGACATGTCCACAGTATCGAAAATTATTTTTCTGTACTATATCCAAAATATATATTCTAGCAATAAATCTCGTGTTGATTCATTTTGTCACTGTTAATCTCGAAAATACTAAAATAAAGTAAAAAAAATAAACTATAAGAGTTGTAAACTTGTCATATTTCATTGACAATAAATAAAAGTAATTTAGGGCATTGCAATTGGACCAGTCTCATAAGAGGGTTAATGCTCACCGAAATGCCCAGGGGTTGGCTGCAGTGGAGGTGCCAAAATCAGTGGGGAGGAATCTTTATGTAGGGCCAATTATTCAAAGGTGATTGATAGGTCTCCCTTCTGAGTCCAATCCACAAATCAAATGGTATGCTGAAAGATTAAAACAAAGTTTTTTAAAAAGGGAAGAAATTAGAAAACTATATGGGGGACATTATCTTCAATAGGCTCTATTTATAGCAAGTCTAATGGAATGGACCATTTCAATTTTCATGATAAATTTTTACACTTTTTTTTTTAATAGTCAGTGATGTTCGCATCAGTTTATATATACCTCGATTAATCTCTTCTCTAGTCCGGTTAAATATTGGTCATTCACGTCGGGATTAAAATATTTATAAGAGATAAATTCCTCATAATTTTACTTGATTTTAAGGAATTTTTAAGATTCGAACTCAAAATATTTAGATTTACAATTTTTTCTATTATCTTTTAAATTATCCATTAGAGTTCGATTTTGACACATCTGAGTACTCAGGATTTCAAAAAAGGATAGTTTGCACCTACTCAAAAATAAAAAATAAAAAATTGAGAATTAGGTCTAGTGGGACAAAATTCAAAGGTTTTGTTTGGATCGAACATACAGTAGAATTGGATTGGATTGGATTGGATTGTTATATCTTTCTGGAATTTACAATGATGGTATGTGGAATAGGAGTTGCCATTGTACTTTATTCAATTACCATATTTTGGAAAATGAATGGATTGCCTGTGATTTCCCAAATCAACTTTAACCATGAGTATGTACTTGCAAGGGATATGCCATTTTTAAGGTATTGTTTGATCAAAATATCCTTGCAATGGACACAAATGAGAAGATTTTATTCAATGGACATTTTAGTTATATATAGTTCTTGTACATCTGATCATTTTTAGAGCAATGTGAGTTTCATGCGCTGAACCGTCCTTATATTATTATTAACTGCCCATATCCCATCTTACCTTGATTTCAACTCTTCAACAAATTATTGTAGATCCAAAACGGCAAACAAAACGAGAAAATTGTAAGATCATGAAAAAATTGATTCAGTTTCCCTTATCGCAAATTAATTTCAATTAATTTTATAAAATATATCTCTTAAGTAAAGAAATAAATAATTTTATATTGTGATTTAAGTAAATAAATAAAGATTAATCGCAAATTGCATGCCGAAAGATCTTTTGAATTTTAATTACACCTAAATCCCCTCAAATTTGTCAGTAATCATTGAACCCCCCTAACATTTGACTATAAGGTGTCTAAGCTTATTATGATTACTCTCTCGAACTTGAATACTAATCATTGTAATCCTAAGTGGGTTTAGAACATATCTCCTAAAGAACAAAAATTATTAACCTTTAAAAGGTATGAAAATTATTAAATTTAAGATATCTAAAACCTGAATTACCAAAATTCAAACTCGCTAACCGAAATACCCTTAAAGTTAGCTATATGTTGAATTAAAGAGCAAAGACGAGTGCTAATAAAGGAAGGTTAAAGAAGCCATAGGCAAGCATACAAAAGCAAGCTTTCCCTTTTCATTTACCTCTTTCCAAGAAACAAATAAAAAGTGATGAGAATGGGAAATGAGTAATAAAATATGACTAAAAAAAAATAATAATAATAAATAAAAAAAGTAGAAAAATTAAAACGGGGCTCCCATAGCTATAATGCGCCATAGAGTCACTATCCCTGTCCCCTCGTTGAAATAAATTAATACATAAATAATAATTCGTTTGTATTTTTAGTTTTCTAGAAAATAGTAGCTCCAGTCTTTTCACTCTGCTTTCGATTGTCGACAATTTCCTCCATTTTGAAGCTTTTTGAGGCGATTGGAGATGGAGTAGCCGGTCCGGTGAGGGGTCGACGACAAGTGGGTCGCCGGAGATCTCCTTTATCAGATCTGTGAGTAGATTTTGCTCAGTAGTATCAAAATTATGTGAGCATGATTCTAGAATTAGGTGATTTTGGGGTGCGGTTTTTTTTTTTTTCTTCAAGTGCAACCTGTATTGTGTATATAAATTGCTCAGTGGTGTCAAACTTATGCGAGTACGATTTAGTATTTGCTTTTATTAGTTGCTTCAGAGTCAATGAGATCTTTGACTTTGAATCGATATATGTGTGTGCGTGTTCTGCGGAAACTTTTTGATTTTACAAACTAAAGTTGTTATCGCAGAAATTAATGAATGTTTTCTGTTTATTCAAAGAACAATTGTTTTTACATTGAAACCTTTTATGTGGGCAGTATTTTCAGTTTCTCTTGCCCTCTTAGAAAGCTAGAATTGAGATTGTGAGCTTTCATATTGATTTGTCAGGTATGATTTTACATTTTTTAATGTATTTTTATGTGTTTTGGGTGGTATAAGTTTGTTTGATTGACTTGGTTCTAGTGCAGTATGAAATTTGAATTTTTTTTTTTTGTTATCTTAATACATTGTTGGTCTCAAATGTCAAAGGATTGCTGACTATGGTTTCCCATTACTCTGACTTTAGTTTGACATTCCATTTTATTGGCTTTTTGGAGCATTTCAAGGAATTGCTGCAGACTAATGAAATATATGTAATTTTCTTTGTATCCCATCCGTTATTGTTATTTTGACTTTCTTGTTTATAATTATTTGGAATTTGTGCCTGCTCTGGACAGTGAAATTAAAGCATTGTTTATGTAATCATTAAAAAAAAAGAAAATATGAGAGTTCGCATGAATGCTGTAGAAGAAAATCATATTGAAAAATTTTCTCTTCTTCCTTAAATGTTCGGGGAATGACCTGGAGTCTAATGCTGAATTTGGCCTAATGGAGTTTGTTCTTTTGAAATGGAATTGGGGCAATATAGTCCAAAATCTTTAGCTAAGTTATCCCTATTAGTTATTACCAATTAGGGCATCAATTTTATGCTGCCAAATGCAATAAAATTCACTTTGCAAAAAATCGATAACATGACATAGCAAATACTTTGTTCCTTTTGTTTAGTATTAGTTTTGCTCATGTTTTTAGAACTTGACTTACTGACTATTATGGGTGGTAATGGGCAGGTGGTTTTGGTTGTCTGGAGATTGATAAAACTGTATAAAAAGTGTTTTATGGTGCCCAGATGAGCAGAACTGATGCTATTGGCAGTGGAAGGAGGAGGATTTTTCTCTTCTTCAGCTTCTGGGTATAGCAAGGGCCTCACCCTTCTTCTCTTGGGTCGGAAGGACGAAGAGAAACCCATGAGAGTTTCTCCGTGGAATCAGTACCAGTTGGTGGACCAAGAATCCAATCCTGATCTCCAGCTGGCTTCTGGGAAGAACCGGCTTGTCCGCGGGTGCGCCTCCTTTGTCTGCTTTGGTCGCGCTGCCGCTGGACTTGAGAGCCCATCTCCTCTTAAGGTGGGACCCACCCAACAGCAGAACGTCTTGTCAGGGTCTCCCATTTCTGAGAACAGCAAGGACCATATCCATACTGCTGAGCTGATCAACAATGATGATAGTGCGCAAAGGATTGCCCTTAAGAGTAGCTTGAAGAAGCCAACCAGTAACCTCCCAGTTTCTGGGGGAGTTGATAATGAACGTGAGGCATTATGTGAAAAGGATAGTGATGTACCTGATCACAATGAGAGGAGGAAAGTGCAATGGATAGATGTGTCTGGGGGAGATCTTACTGAGATCCGGGAATTTGAGGCCAGGTATGGAACTTCATATCTAAATTATGTAAAGAATGCTATTTTTGGGTTTGCTGTGACTTGGTTAATAGTGTATGGAAGTTCTGCTATAATGGCTTTTGTGATATGGCATTATAAATAATTGACCTAGGGGATTGGAGATGAGCCATTATTAAGCAGTCCATATTTTTGTATACTACTGCACATGATTTAGTGGTGGAGAGCATGGCCTATAAACTGCAATTTCCAGACAAAGACAGGGTGCTCCATTTTGGACATGGTCGTGTGTCCTTGGCATGGCAACTTTTTGATCAAGGGTATATAAATATTATGTGTCGTGCGTGGCTTCGTGCATCCTTTTTGTTTAGTTGTGGAAGATGCTTTTTCCTCTCTTTCTACATATAAATGTTGTGTATGTATGTATACTTTAATCTATTTGTCAACTTGAGCAGATGAGTTGGCCATTGCAGACTTGCGGGTCATTGTCTATGGTTGCATGTCTATATTTATCTATGTGTGCATGGATGTGATTTGGGGAAGCATGAGGTTGTCTTTCATACTTTAGTTATAAGAGATCTTCTAGAACCCAGGTTGTGTTTGATGCAGACTGTGAAAGGATCGTGAAAGAAATTCAAAGAAGATAAGAGTTTGGATATATTAGCTCAGTTCCAAGGCAAAGAGACTCAAGGGACTGGAAATTTCTAAACTTCTTTTTTCTACAAAATAAGAACTCTTTGTTATACTTAGGCTAGAGGAAAAAATAATTTTGGTTGGTGTCAGCAATTGTCTTTTTGTTTAGGACCTTTATATTTTGTGCTTATTTGCCTGATATGTGTCAGATTTAGCAGGCGTAGTGGGTTAAAAAAGTAATCCAAGTCTTGGCCAACTGTGGCCTCCAATGATACTTGGCTACCTATTATTTATAATAAAATAATATTTATAATAAAATTCTTTTTCCCCACGTCATCGTCTATTATTTATAATAAAATTCTTTTTGTACTATCAAAAAGAAAAAGAAAAAGATTAGGATGTGTGCCCTCTTGAAATTAAGCCTTCAAGTTGAGTTATATACTTTTCTGTTGTCTGTGCACTGGGATGATCAAGGTGGGATTACTGTTGACACTATGGTAGTGTAATATGATTTTTGTCCCATATGTGTAGCTTATGAACAACTGAGATTTGCTGGTTCTGACTGTTATTGCCCTTCATGCAACTATTTGAAGGCACTGCAAATTGTAGTGTGCGCCAGTTGACTTTTTGACTTGGCTTTTACTGCTGATTTGTGATTGTCTGTAGTCCTTGCAAATAATAGGATGGGCATCTAATATGTTTCCGTTTTTATTCTAATGCTTTTTTTTCAGGTATGATTTTTTTACATTGTGGGTCTCATCTCCCCCTTGTGTAATTTTCTCCTTGTTATATTGCAGTGAGGCTGATGGATCAGATGACGAATTTGACAATGGGAGTGAGAGTGCTTGTTCATGCAGTATAATGTAGGTTGATTCGTTAAAGGAACATGATGCGGACTCCATTTTTGTTAAAATACTGGGAGGCAATGATCGAGGCATTCCATGAGCTACTATTGACAGGCATGCTCATCTCTGCCTTGTTTGGCTAAATGCCTTGTTTGGCTAAAGTGTGAATTTAACAATTGAGAATTGGAGTCCACCTGAAATACTGGGATCACAAGGTTACATGCTGGATTTGCTTCATTGGATCTATTAGTTGCGTCTTTATTCCATGGCGTGGAATTCCAATTTTTGTTGCTTGGGGCTTTACCTGTTTACTTTTGATGTTCATGTTCATATGGGTGACTATCATTACTTATCCCAAAAAAACAAGTACTTTATTGTTTATTTTTTCACATAATTAACGTGTCATCTTTGTTATTTTCGCATTTGGGTTAAGAGAGTCTCATGTCTTTCGTTCTTTTCCTGATATTATCTTGAGTCAAGATTACAAACTTGAGTTCTACTAACCTTTTAGAGTGAAGATTTGCATGCGGAGCTGATTAGTTGACCTAATCAGCAGAGACTTTTGAAATGTTATCGTGGTGGCAAGGATTCTTCCTGAGACTATGCTGGAGAGGTGAATTGGGACGATCTTTATAGTCAGCACAGGGTGAACCAGAATTGAAGAATTTCTGCCAGTATCAGGCATCAGAGAGAACGGCATTGATGATGGAGGATTTCGGTGAAATCCACCAAGGTTTGATGTGAATCATTGTCAACTATGTATATCTCCTACCATGGTTATTAGCCAATAATTCTTACTGGACCAGCACTGCCCTTTGGGAGGACTGAGTTACTAAAATTGTTTCATCTTGATCTCCCAATGGCATGATCAGTAGGATGGAAACTGGATGATCCAAAATTTCTGGGAATGGTCGATATATTGCTGAGTACCTAGGCGGTCATACAAGGTAGGTTGAAGTGTAGCTGCAGTTCTCCCCTCCCCTCCTTTCTCTTATGTTGTGCGAAATTCAGCGATTTTTTTTTCTTTGGGGGGTGGTGGGCGGACCACCCAACCCTGGGGACAATTTTTTGGCCTGCGGGTAGGATCTGGACTCCACATTCTAGCTCAGAAATCCGAGATGTTTTCTGAAAATCATTCCAATCACCCATTTTTCAAAAAGAGAAGTTTTATTATATTGTTCAAATTGTATCCTTAAAAACCCATTCCAAATGAGTTGACGCCTTCACATCTCACATTTCATAAAACAAAAATTTTTTTATTGGAGTCCATGGAGTGATGGATAAAGGTGTCAATTCATTTGGGATGAATTTTTTAGAGAAAAAGTCTACAATACCAAAAATATAATTTGTTGGTATTGTACAACAATTATAGATTTTGTGATTTTTTCTACAACTTTTGATGGTTCTCTATAACTTTTGTGGTAACTTGGCCCCAAAAAATTATAATTTAAATTTTTAAAATTTGTAATATGATCCCAAAAAATTGTAAAATTTTTGTTATAAACAAATCAAAAAACTTGTAATAAAATACACAAAATTTGAAGGTACAATACCAATTTTTTTTTGGGTACTTAGTTTTCTCCTTTTATGGAATACTGGTTGGTTGAAGGACATTTTCTCTCTTGAAAAGAGAAAGACGATTGTTATACAAACTTGAAAAACTAATTTGATCAATTACGGACATTAATTTAGTTATAGTCACAATATTTATTAGAATTCACTACTTATTCAATGATTATGATCCATAAAATTAGCAAATCATATCAATTTTTTACGTATAAATAACATTTCTCAAAGAAAAAATTGCAAAGCACGCTTTAGATACTCGTAACCACCTCCACTCATACATGGAAATTCACGCATAAAAAAAAAGTATATAGAAACACCCTTATTTAAAAGAAAATCAAACGTGGATTGTAACCAATCAAATGTCAGAGGTTTTTGTCAATAGATTCGAACTCGCCATATAATAGGTAACGACGGACTACGACGAACGTTAGAACCACTGATACTCGTCAATAGCTGTTTGGAGTATCCAGGACCTTTAAGAAAAAAACATTTACCCCTGGATTTGTGGAAGTATTCCAAGAGTTATTGTGATCTGATAGATTTTCATTTTATGAGAATATTGAGATAAAGTCGGTGCAATGCAAGACCGTTTAGTAGTTTAGTGAACCATTTTGCCATTGAAACTTGGCCACGTCTATTTTTTTTTTTTTTTGGGGAAATTTTCTTTTTACTCCTTTGTAGTTTGAGTCAATTGCACTCTACGCCCTTATTATTTAAAAATAGGAACTTCACCCTTTATATTTTTGGACTAAAATACAACTGTTATAAATTCTATCCAAATTGACGAAAATTGTAATGCACACGCCAAAATTGGGAGTTGAGGTGCAAATTTTTTTTGGTCAAAATTAACTTTTTTGAGAGTTAGGTCAAGATTTCGGGTTTGTGTCAATAATTTTAAAATTCGAACCTAGTATATTTAATTATCGTGTCGAGACATGTAAACACTAACCTGACTTAAATATTAAATGAGATACCCGAACCCGACCTATTTAACATGTTTAATAACATGTCATTTTTGAGTTAGAACACATGTTATTTTGACATGTTTAACACGCATAACTTATTTTCACATACGGTCATTAACATTAAATACATTATTCAATTATTCATTTAAAATTTTAAATAATTTTTTTACAAATAATATCTCAAATTTCATCAATGAAATTAACTAAAATGCATTCAAGTTTAATCTAACAATTAAATATAAGAGCTATATTAGTATACTGTCATAATAATATTATGAACTATATCATCAATTATCATAGTAGAAGTAAGAACTAAAAAATAATAATTTTAATACCACATCAATTATATATAATAGGCAAATTATATTGTCATAAACGGGTTTATAATGAATTGAGTCTAGTTCTTGTCCAAATCATGTTAACTTATTAAAATATATAGGTTATTCAGGTCAAAATCAGATTAATTTAATTTTGACATGACTCTGACATGATTTTTTTATTTTTAAGTATATTGACCCGTTTTAACTCATTAACTCGTTTAATTTCATATCTAATCTATTAATTTCGTATTCAATTCGTACCATATTATTAATGTGTCGTGTCAAAAATCGATAACCCCCCTTACATTCTCTCTCTCTTAATATGTGTGTGTGCGCGCGCTAACTAACTCCCCACCGTTATCACTCAAAGGTAATATGGACTAAAAGTCCATCTTCATCAACCACCAATCGAAAATTGGTTCACTCCTTCAACACCTATCACCACCTCTCTTTCTCTACAAAACCGACCACCTTATTGCCATCACCTTAACCACTCCGATAATCAAGAATGGAGTCAGAATTTTTGTTTATCCCGGATTAAGCTAAGCATTCATATGACTTACAAAATATAAATGTAAACTCATAAATAAGGGCGAAGTCAGGATTTTTGTTTATTCTGGACTAAGCTAAGCATTTATACGACTAATAAAATACAAATATAAACTCATAAACATATATACAATAATACAAATGTAAACTCACACTTAAATGGTTTCTACATAAATGGATAGTTAAGTATTTGACGAAATGATCACATGTTGGTCACGTAATACTATCTGAAAAAATAACACGTGATCATTGTCGTAAAAAAACTTAACGAATTATCCAATTAAAAACCAAAATAACACGAATTAAAATTTTAGGAATCAAATTAAAAAAACGAATATATTTTAAACATAAAAAATACTATTAACTAAAATAAATATGTAACCATTTATATTGAAGATTATCACTCAATAATTGATGATTCTTGGTGAAGCCACTAGATTAGCAAAGCCCAACAACCAAACCAAACCAAAACCTCTATCTAGAAAAAAAAAAAAAAAGAGAGAGAGAGAGATGTAGGTGGAGGCTGCATGTCTAACGATGAAGTGACTGAGGTGGGTTTGATTTTGAAAAAAAATAATAAGTGAAAATTGATAAATTTGGGGAGAAATAAAAAAGTAATGATCGTTGAATAAATAAATTAATTTAAGACCGTTAGATGTTAAAGCGGTTTTGGTTCATATTATAAATGAATTAGCCTCACTGGCCTCATAAATTCCGCACGCTATATATTTTGAATCTTTCCAAAAGACCCAAAAAATAAAATAAAAATAATAATATAATACAAAAATTTACACACGCAATCCCCACACATACATAAAATCATCTACATTATCAAAAACTCATACTCCTCTGCAACACTACACGCTCTCCCAAGCTAGTACAACTATACGCCCTCCTAACACCCACTGGCCCCACATCTCTCCACGTATCACCTTTCTCCACCGTTAATCTTCATTCAATTCACTCACACCATGATCTACCGTGATTTGAACCACACCCAGAGATTTGACGGTGGCTGGGTCAAGGCCTTTCGGGTAGTGGTGGGGCCTTAATGAAGATGAAGAGAGTGGCGATGGCTGTCTACGACGGCGGACGTCGGTGCTGCCATCGTTTTCGTAGCGGGTGAAGCGGCGGATGTAGATGGAGAAGAAGCCCATGAAGAAGAGAGCTGTATGGAGGACGAGGATGGTTAGGGCTCTAATAATTTTTTTTTCCCCCTGGGCTTCAGCCCACCACAGCCCACTAATACCTCCGTCCTTGATGGTGGTGGTGGTTACCGGTGATGGTGGATTTTTCGGTCCAAGATAAAGGGTGAGAATGATGGTGTTGCAGAGGTAGTTTTCACACACACACAGAAGGGTTGAAGGAAGAGATGAGCTCACATACAGCTTAGCGACCTCCACCCACCACCTAGAGAGAGGGAGATAGAAGGCTTTTCGGTTCAGCCGTCACCACCATTAGCGACCTCCACTCACCAGCTGCACCCACTTTCAGCCACTCTCATCAACCAGTCATTTTGCCGACCAAACCCACTTTTAGATAGCACTACTACCATGACTAGCCACCTTTACCCACTTAACGCCATCGCCACAACCAACCACCTTCGCCCACCAATTTCTCATTTACCCACCTTCAAGTACCATCCCACATCACTTCTACTCTCAATTGCTGTCAATACCGATGGTTGGCCAATCTTTGTTATGAATCACAGAGTGAGACAACGAGATAGAGAGGGTTTGTGACAGAGTGAGGCAAAAGCTAAGATTTCTAAATTATCCACTGAGTTATGATGAATTATTGTGAGGATTATTATATCGTGCAATGAATTGTCTGTGGTGTTGATGGGAGTTTTGGTGGTTATGGAGTTTTAGAAGTGGGGGCGTCGAGACTGGTGGTGGCTGGTGTGGCAGATCAACTTAGAAGATGAGGGTAATATGGTTTTTTTTTTGCATTCACCGTTAATGGAGTGAGTGGGCTGTTCAAATAAGTTCAAAAATATAAAGGGGTGAAGGGCCTATTTGTAAATGATAAAAGAATAAAGTACAACTGACACAAACTACGAGGGGTAAAAAAGAATTTGCCCTTTTTTTTTGGAACTTGTCCACATCTCATCCCTACAGAATTCAACTGTCATCTCTGATTCCGATCTCTCTCTCTCTTTCTCTCTCTCTCTCTCCACCCCAGAAAACAATGCAAAACTAGACAGATAAACAAGAGAAAGCAATGATGAAAAAAAAAAAACAAAAAAACAAAAAACAAGAGAAAGCAACCAGTTCAAAAAAAATAAAAAACAAGAGAAAGCAAACCCAGAAAAATGTCAGTCTCATCATCCACTTCGTTCTCATGCATCAGACTCCCAAATCCATCACCAACTTCACCTTCACCGTCTTCGTCTATTTCTTCTTCTTCTTCTTCTTCTTCGTTACCATCCACAGCCATTAAATTCTCCACAACTAAACCTTTTTCAATACTTAGTATTCGTAGCTCACAGACAGAGGGGCCTTTGAGAAGACCAGTGGTTCCAGCTCCTCCAAAACCAGTCCCGCCTTCACCACCAACGCCACCGTCCGCCTCTTCGCCGACAGCCACGCCGCAGAAGCCAAAGCCAGTTGTGTTGGTGGATGATAAAAATGTGATAACGATGGAGTTTCAGAGGCAAAAGGCTAAGGAGCTCCAAGAGTACTTTAAGCAAAAGAAGCTTGAGGAAGCTGATCAGGGTCCTTTCTTTGGATTCATTGCCAAGAATGAAATTGACAATGGCAGGTAAAAAAGAATAGTAATTACTGCTACTTCCTTGTTTTGTACTGAATTATAGTATTTAGCAGTTTGATCTTTGTGGAAAGAATAAGTGTGTTGATTAGATTCTTGAGTATGATCAGATTGATTTGATGTTGGGTTTAATAACTAATAAGGATTGTTCATTTTTGGTTTGGAATTGAAAATTTGGGGACTCAAATAGGACAGAACAGAAACAAAAATGTCACTGAAAAATAATGAAGGCTTGCGATCAACACTGAAATAACATCTATAAGTGTGAATTTTAGTATTTAGCTGCTTGGTATTTGAAAAAATAAGGCTATGTACATTAGATCATCCTTTAGCGAGCGGATCGTGCACTGGACCACTATTTTTAGCTGCTTTTGGTTGAAATTAATAGTCACTATGATAGAATTGAACGAAAATCAGACTGAAAAAAATGAAGTTATCGAAACTTTGAAGAATTGGAATAAATAAATAACAATTTATGGTTGGGATAGAAACCTGTTTGCTTTTAGCTTAGAAGATAAAAACTCATGGAAAAGAGAAGGGAACTGTGCAGTTAATTCCTTGGCTTCTGTGCATTCAATTTGATGCATTATGGACAGTTCAGTGCATCAGCTGAAACCCTTCCCCCCCCCCCAAAAAAAAAAAAAAAAAAACACACACCAAAAAAAACCCAATCCTCTTCCCTCCTGCTTGTTTGGTGGTGCTGCAATAGGCAGCCAACGAATTAAAACCTTGGTCCGCTTTCATTTGTAATATGGTCATTGCTTATCTCTGTCTTCTCTTTGGTGAATCGGGGGCAAGAATTGGGAGTAGAATAGTTAGCACACGCTAGTCAATCCTGTAAGTACGTCGCGTTTGTTCTTTCGACTGAACTTATCATCTCCTCTGGCAAAATGTCCTCCAGTCCTTCATGCTCAATTGGACACACACACACACACAATGTCTCGCCTGCTTGGACACCTAGTAATTAAGTAATTGAAAGGTGATGAGACTTTTCTGAAATACTCTATGATGAAGACACGTGTCCTCGAAATTACTAAAACACTGTTGATAAGATCAAGCACCATCGGCGCATAAAGGTCCTCGCCCCCCGAGGTACTCGTCATATAGGATCATGGCATTCAGTACGTTTTACAACCAACACGTGGCCTCGGTCTGATATGGTACCTCGGTCGGTATCCCTCCCTCGGTTCCGAGATGAGCCTTTCCTCGGTGCCGAGGTGTACCCCGTCCTGGACGCCTCCTCTACTCCAGGATAAGCTATTGACGTACAGGTCATTAGCCTAGGCTAGTCTAGGCTATTCATCATGACCTCGTCTTACACAATTAGTGTCAGAACGTACTGGAATGCAGGGGCCACAGCCAATGGGGGATGGACGCGTGGCATATGATATCACATCGAAGGCAGAAAAACCGCATGCCGTTGCTGACACTCGACTTGGGAAAGCAAACAATTAATTGCACCATTCCCTTGATGAGACCGCATTCAATGCGGTAAGGCTCGGAAATGAAAGGCAATAAATGCTCCTAATACAGAGCATTTATTGCATCCTCCCCGAGAGGAGTACATTGTACCGTCGGCATCCCGATGACCCAGCATTGATTGCTCGGGACCCCGAGCAGTTAAGAAGAGAAGACATTCCTCATCAGAATCAGTGCGCACACTGCCTGTACCTAATGATCACCTACTGACTACACTGACAGCAATCATGAGCTTTTGAGGTATAAATACTCCTTGCAAAAGGCAAGACGGGTATGCAACAAAAAACTCTTTACTACAATACACACTCAGTGTTTTCTCCTTCCTCTCTCTTTCTCAAAGACTGACTAGATCGTCGGAGGGGATACGCCGGAAAACACTCCGGCGCCCTTCTAACTTGTTCTTCTTTGTTCCAGGAACCTCTTTCAGCCTTACTGGATCGTTCTTCCGCTCCCCCAGGGTCTCCCGTTGCCGTTCCAGGTTACCACCGGACCTCGCAGGCTGTTCCAAGCAGCGTGGTTGGTCACTCAACTGGCTCACTCGAGTTCACCAAGGGAGAGATCTGTTCTCGTTTTTTATATTGTGCAGGATCTTGCACGCACAATCTGTCGCCGTCTGTGGGAAACGACTAGTTTTCCTAGTTTTTTCTCTATAAAGAACAGTGACCATGGTGAACACTCGACAGAAAGGGAAAGGCCCCCACCAAAGGAGTCTCGAGTTACAAGCTCCCTGTCATCACGGAGGAAGGGATCACACCAATACGAATAAAAGTGCCTCTACTCGATCAAGAGGGGTTACCCCTCAAACCAGTATGGGAATCAGGTCAGGGGGATCAGCCCCCTTGGCTCGTCAGCNGAATAAAAGTGCCTCTACTCGGTCAAGAGGGGTTACCCCTCAAACCAGTATGGGAATCAGGTCAGGGGGATCAGCCCCCTTGGCTAGTCAGCTGGCGGAGGTGATTGAAGAAAAGTTTGGCGATAGATTACGTCAGCTGGAAAAGGACAATGTAAACGTCCTAAGCCGGCTCAACGAGTTTGCCGCCTCTGGCGAAGGGTCGAGGGATTCATTCCTTTCCCGTGGGCTTTCCGCCTGGGAGGCGGAAACGAAGGATCTAAGAAACCATCTAAACAACAAAGCAGAAAGCTCTAGAGCCCCAAAGCGACCCAGAGCCGGCGAGCATCATCATGACAACCATTCAAGGAAAGCAAGGCCATTGGCCCTGGACGACCTCCGGCGAGGTTTGTCTAGACGGAGGAAG